CTCTTCCATGACTACCAGCTTTTGAGAAGCGGAAGCATTATTTATCTGCTTTTCCCTTGTTACCTATGGATGTCTTTCATTGTTATGGATTATTAGCTGTAGTCAGGAGGCCCCCAGGGTGCTGAGTGCTGTGTATCCAGAGCACAAGATACAAGCATTGGCCCACAGCAGCTGCACTATCAGGCTGAGATTTTGCTTGTCATTCCTCAGAACAGCACCTTCTGTAAAGATTCTTCATCCTTTTTTACCCAGGCTACACTCAGGGCAACTCACTTTACAGCTAAAGAAAAAAGCCAGCTACATAGAGTTACGGGAAAGAAAGGGGGCCACCAGGAAACAGCAAACCAGTCAATTCCATGGTAGAAATGAGGAATCCTTTCATTCTTGGAAAAATAAACTTATAAAATATTGTACTAAACCGATTCCAGGTCAACCTGTAATTAATGGGAAACCTCATCCCCCTCAAGGCTATTACTTCAAACTGTGCAAAACTGTAGTAGTTGCTTAACTTTTTGAATCAACTTTAACAATTATTATACTCATTGACACTGTGATTCCTTTTCCATCAATGTCATGCGAGAGATTCAAATGGAATTAACCATAACACTCAGAGGATCTCAGAACATCGATATTAGAGGGTATGTTACAACAAGAAAAGAAGGGAATGACCTGTTGGCAGAGTGTGTCTAGCCATTGAAAAAGTTATTTCCTATACCCAATTAAGAATGGTATTAATTTATAGAAAGTGGGTCTGAGGCTCAGTTTTACATTTGCCTTCAGCATTCGCAGAAGTGTGCATCCACTGTGTTTATGGATAACACAGCTTTTGTGGGAGACACTTAAAAGTATTTCCAACAGAGAACAAAATAATTATATACTTACGGCATGGGGTGTTTGATGTGTTCACAAGTTGTGGGAATGCAAAGACAGTTGACAACTCTAGTTCATGGTTTTGATTTTGTTCCTTTTCTTCAGTTTGGTCAGCCCAAACTACTGATTTTTGTCTTTGAATCAGCTGCTCAACCTCCCCAAATTCAGTCTCAGTTAAATTATTTGTCAACCCAGCTTCTTTCAAAGTCAGGTATTGCTTGCGAAGAACTGGAAGCAAAGTATTTAGCACTCTGTAAAACGAGAGGCAAGACAAATATGACTAAATCATATCTAACCTGAGCCTTACTAGCACTCTCACTATTAGGAATATGAAGGATTTTTTTTGTTCTTCACCCTTCTCCCCTCCCACCCTGCAAGTTCTGCTGGATAATTTATTTTAATTTTGGGGGAGGGAATAGCATAACACTGGGAGGAAATAGTCATGACTAAGAGTGACTTTTCTCTTTTGCAAAATCTTTTATTTCACTCTAAGTATTTACTAAGTATAGTGTTTCCACAGTGTCCAAGATCTTCAGTCCCTCAGACATCACAAAAATACAGTCAGTATATCTTGACTGAGTTCTTACTTTCTAAAATTATCAGATAAATGAAGACTATAAACCAAGTATGTGGTTTAAACCAAGCACATCCTAATTATATGTGTATAGAACCTTATTAGAAGCCTAGTCCAAATAAATTTAGATACTAGGATCTTTTAATTAAAGAATGGAATACATTAAGATCCACACACAACTGCAAACCAAATTAAAGTGACAAAAGTTTAGGAATTCTGTCTGAACACAGTTATTCATTAACTGTGGAGTCAGTTGCAAGACTAAACAGCAGGTTCAAGCAATACAGGAAGGGATGTATATAAAACCCCAAAGTAGCAACTTTGTAATTACTAACAACATAGCCTTAAAAATTTTGCTTTCAGTTTTGCAGGTTTATGTATTAGTTTTTATGATGTTTGTGGTAACCGTCTTTTCTCCAAAGAAGGAAGAAAAGCTAGTTATTTCATTTTGGAATGATTTAATTACAAATTTAATATATTTGTTTACTGAACTGATTTGCAATTACTTCCCATGCCTTATGTCACACTCTGAAATCTAGTCTCCAGCATTTTTGAGAGACTGATAACAGAGAAAGAGCTGATGCTTACCTTGAAAATTCAGCTTTTTTCCAGTCTGACTAGCTATGTAAGAGTTTAATTGTAACAATTTTTAATACAGGTAATTAATTAATGTCTACAGTGCAAGGAATTAAAAGAGAACACAAACACTTATAAAAATCAATACTGTTCAACACAGAAGAGGAAAGTAAGACACCATGTTCTATTGAAGAATCTGTAAAAAATACGCAAAGAAAATAAGCAGTGCTAGTGCATACCTGCAGTTTCTGTTAAACAATGGTGGATATGGACCAATATTTACAAAGCAATTATTACTTTACGTATCTTTTTGCTTATAGAAAACACAATTCTAGCCTAGAAAAAATGTTTGAGAAAAATCTTGCTTCTGTTTCAACTAAAACTAAATTCTACACATACATCTTCTGAAGTTACAAGTGTCAGAATAAAAGTCTTATCAGGCTTGCTATGAAACCATACTTACTTTTCTGTCTGCTTATAATGCTGATCTTGAAGGGACACCAAAGATAACATGTGCTCAATCTGGAGTTTCAGGTCCTTAACTTCTAGGTTTAAATGGCAACACTGCAGATCTTTACGGAGTTCCTTGGGAAATTAGTAAGTAAAAAAAACCAAGACAACCGGACATTAAACTGAAAGTGAGAAACTAAAATTTAAACAAAAATAGTATTAATCCATCCTATATTGAAAAGAAAAGATGGAGTGGATCTATACTATTATAATAAAGTTTTATGGCAGAAAAGTATGACTCATTTGATTCTTACTTACATGCATAAATATTACTTTGTAGATTTCCTTTGACCAAAAGTGGGTGTGCCATAATTAACATTAAGAATCCAACAGGCACACATGTATGCTTATCCATGCATACCCCAAAATATGCTTGCCTCTTTTGCTGTGTACTCGCTCCATATCTGAATTTCAGTGACATTGTCTGGGACCCTGTATTCAGTCACCTTCTTGAGATGACAATTTCTTGCTTGAAATATCTTAATTTCTTTTAAGGTATCACCAAAATTTAGTCATCCCAATAAAAATACAGGTATTGAAATATATTACATTATATGAGTCACATAAGTGCCCATTACACTATCATTTAAGCCACTCCCAATTGCTGGCTGAAACTAAAAGGCAGGGATGAACAACCCCCCACCTTTCTTTTCTTTTCCTCTTCTTGTTCCAGCACAGACCTTCATCCCTTCTCTTCCACCAGCTCTTGTGCTTGTCTGAGGCTGCACTGAGCTGACTCTACTTGCTAAAACTTGGCAGAGAACACAACCTCCCACTTCTTTCCTCCTTCCCACTCCTCCCCTAGCACTCTCCAAAACGGAATTTTCTTTTGGCCAGGCTAAGAATTAGGTTGTCACATGGTTAAAAAAGCATCAGGAGGTACTGCAAAGGCAAGACTAGAAATGTATGGCCAGGAGCAGGATCAACTCTCCAGCAGCCATCTGAACTGGCTCAGCCATATCATACTTACTCCCCTTTAGCACACATTTTTGCGTGTGATTGTATACTTTCATAAACAAGAAATACTTGCACCAGCAATGAAGTACTTTTAGGGCAGAACAACAGAAACAGCTAACGCTAGAATTTGAAACCACCCTGAAACAATTTAAGCAGAAGCAAGACGAAGAGAGGGGAGAAAAAAAAAATCCATTCTTAACTATAGTCAGATGTTACCTACAATGCATGAAATCTGCCCTTGAAGCAAAGGCATTTTACCTTTGGAATACATCCGTCTTGACCCAGGAGGCGCATTTCATTCTCAACACGATGCAGCCAATTGGTATTTTCCTCAAAATGTTCAATCTCCTCTTCTTTCTTCTTCTGCATGTGCACACAGTGGGTTCTAAGCATTGCAAGCCTTTGATCCCGCTTGCAAGTGGCCTAAAAATCAGCATTTAAGGGGAAAACTTTCAAATGATGTTCACAAATATCTCTATATAAAAAAAGAAAATTTTTTTCCATACTTTTATACTCAACTGAGTCTAACAAACATTTTGTTCAATAAAAGTGAAGTAGCAGATTGTCCTTATGGGCATTACTGAATTATATATAAAAATTTTCAATTTTTTTTCCCGGGAGTGCTTATAACAGAGAATATAATCATTTGATTGATTATTCCCTTAAAAAATACATTGGATTTGATTAATTTCACTTCTAGGCCATAATTACCTTATGCTGGAAAAACTACATGTGCACATCCAGACTACTTCTAGGTACAACATAACCTAATAATTTCTAGAAACTCAAGCATGAATATGAAGAAGCAATTTTATCTGTTTTGTTTTCCTACTGCAGTATGTCCTAGAAAAAGCCCACTAAAGGATGAAGTATTTGGCAAAAGGAAAACCCTCTTATCTTCAGGCATTAAAATTCTTCTGATGTTTCTCTGAAATCTGAGAACAAAAAGGCACAAAACCAGCAACAGCAAGCTGGATATGAAGAACAAGGTAGTGGCCTAACAAGGCAAAGGAGACTCTTTTTATTCAGAGAACAACTATAGTTTGCAGTATACTTGAAAAATTAGGTCACTAACTCAACTAGTCATAGAGAACATAAACTTCAGATAGAGTTCACAGAGTTCAGCTACGCCTAAACTTTAGTTAAAACAAACAAACAAAAAACCCCACAAACATTTGAAGTATATTGCTACACTCAACAAAACCAAACATATAAAGTTGTAACACCTAAATCTCTACATCCATACATTCCAAAATTAACACTAAATGAAAACTTCATCAGTTAGAATAAATCTATGTATTTAGAATAGCAGGTCAAATTAGTTCTATTACAAGATGTCATAGGAAGCTCTGAATTTATCTCCCTAATGTTGCACAAAGCAGAAATTACTCTAACTGGTGCCCTTCTGAACATACTGTAGAAAACAGAAACAGTACATGGAGAGACACAGATTGCATTTCTTAAGTTGACTTTTCCAAAGGCTTACTTCAACACATAGTGTGCAGAACACAGAACCAGGATGGTAAAGACCTGAACTACATGTGTCCTCCAGGCAACTCACTAGGTCAAAGACTAGATTCTGGCCAGAATTTAACTTTGCTTTTCCTTTAGACTGTATTAGCTGCTAAGATGACAGAGGATCCAGAGAAGACAAAGTCACTTTGTAAAGGACCAGCTCCTTAGGGAAAGTACCAGGAGGAAGAGTTAACTGTTAGACTAAAGCTTGCAACAACCGCTGTTTCCCTCCAGCCAGTGAGACTAGGGGAGAGCTGTCGGGACTGCCAAAACAGAGAAATTCAAGCACACTGTTTTGCATACTTCAGCTTTTACACAGTGCAGGAGAGGTATCAGGATTAAAGGTGATATTGACAATATTCCATCATTTGATCAACCCATCCCATCGGTTGCCAGGAAGAAAGGACATGTTACATCAGTGTGCTCCAACAGAAAAAAAAAATGGTTATGTGTGCTTGCTGTACACAACCTCTGGAACACAAGCATAGCCCTGGGCAAGATACTTGGTTGCTACTCTGTTTTGCAATTGAAAAAAAATAAATCACAAGAGATATAGAAGAAATTGTCCCTCCTGGGCTGAAGAACTAGGACATACTCAACAAGCATTTTCAGATCCAGCATGGGCAATTGCAGTAAGCAGAAAAACTGAAACCAAGATAGACTGACTGCTTTCCAGAAATATACTCCTCTTCCAGACAGTAAAAAAATGTTGAAGTGTCAATCAGAAATGGACAAGTGATTTTAAATCTAATGTATTTTTTAAAGCCTGTCAAAGTGCCAGCAGGGTTTTTTTGCCACATCTTTAAAAAGAAAAAAATTGTAAAGCAGATTCCATGACTGATGCAGAAAACTTCAAGAAAAAAACAGGTCCAAACTCAGTAGACTTCTTCAAACTCAACAAGATAGCTCAAGTAACTATAGCACAGGGGCACATACTAACTTTTTATGTTTCCATACAAAGAGGAACATTCTATACAATGTTCTCTATTGGCACAAACATTTTCTGGCTAACAGGGCTGTAGCTGATACTTAGCATGCAACAGGAAAACACAGATGCAGAAATACAGGTAACAGTGGAGGAACAGGCATTAGGAAGGAGGACATAAACAGGCCATGTAAATGGGCAGCATCCAAGTTCTACAAAAAGCTGGAAACCTAGGCAATTATGTGGAAAATGGAAATGATTCATTAGTTGTCTGGGAGGGACTGAATTTCACAGGACAACTTGTGACAAAATTTTTCCAACAAGAAAGCATTTGTAAGAACAGAGATTAAGGTAACCTAAACTCATATGTAAGTTTTTTCCTTCTTTCTTGAATTGTTTTGAAGTGTTCAAACTGAGGTTGTTCAAGTATAGATAAGATATCGTTTGCTTTGTGTTAACTTACCTAAATCATTATTATATCTAGTTACTGAGCATGGACAATTAAGTGGGAAATGAGAAAATAATTTAAGTAAAATTTTTCCCTTGAAAATTAATATTTCAGAAATTTCCCTGTAGTCTAACAGTGTATTTTGCAGAGAGAAAACCCAGAGGCATTTAGGAAAACAGCAAATATGTAAAAATACAGGGAAGAACAGAAGCATTATAGTGCACAAGGGAAGCGTGAGCAGTAACTTGGTAATCAAATGACTGGATTCCAAATTAAAATCCAATTTGTTCCAAAGTAGTCACAAAAGGACATTTAATTTTACCATTACAGTGACTTACTCTTATAAGGCATCACACTTATAAGACAGTGACTCTTGACCCTTAGTAAATCACATCTATAAGTTAAGTAACAGCAAAACCAAAATCCGAGTGCAGCACTGCTAGTATTCAAAGTAAAAGTTAACCAGCTCATAAAAAACATTTGTATGAAATAGAGTGTATGAAGGTGTAACTCCTCATTACAAATACAGATACAGCTATGCTCCACTGTAAGGAGCATTTAGAAGTATGGTACAGAAAAATACTACTTTGGAGTTTTATGACATGAGAGAATTCTAGAACACATTAGTCACTTGAAATATCTTCATTAATGACAAGAAAAACATGTGATATATTTTCACACTGACATTTATCTAAGGACCAAATTTCATGTGAATCACTGGGGGGAAAAAAATAGTCATATGGTAAACTAGCATTTTTGGCCAAATACAGATTGGTACTGTGACTAAGCAAAATCAGCCCCACCCTCAATTTCATATCTATATAAAAATATATATTCCTTTAAGCTGACTTGCATTAGAAAAATTAAGATACTCTTAAGCATCCTTGCTTATTTATACTTTAATTCTTCTAGAAAGGACATGAACATTTAGCGCTGTACAACAGCAATTGTTCGTAGTTAGCCCCCAAATTCTTCTCTTAAAATTCAAGGCAACTAAATGTAATTATTTCAGTTCACACATGACTGTCCTTAAGCAGCTATGCAAACATCTTCCTGGTGACAACTGAAAACATCAATAAGAATCTGTCTTGTTTAGTACAAGGTCCATGGTTTTCCTCATGAAACACAGATTACTCAGCTTGTTAACAGCTTCATTAGCATGCTTTGGTTTTGGACAAGAGCACCATGAGTCTCCTTAGTCAGGTCTTAAATAACTATGACAATCAAGCCTACAGAAGTACAAGTTGAAAAGTTTTCACAATTAGCAGCAATAAGCACATCAACAGTTTTCTGTGCAGTCTGGAAAAAATAGCTCGCATGCCATTAGTACTACATTTTCTGTATCAATGTCAAAAAAATGTTATCTGAGTGACAGGCAGTGCATCTCATTTTAATTGTTTAAGTATTTAAGCATTAACTAATTATGTAATTACTTAAGCAAAAGTCATACATTAGCATAGCAAAATTCAGAGACATGATACCTCGTATTACATTCTAGAAAACTCACCTTTTCTACTCTTTCTTCAGAGCACATCAGTTGAATTTGTTCATGACACTGTTTCTGGTAATATGTCTTCAGCATGTTTTCTTTCAGTTGCATTTCCAACTTGAGGTATTCTTTTCTGATTTCCTCACGGTTTGCAAACACATTTTTAAGGATTTCTTTGTATCTGTTAGAACCAAAATATCAGAGTAAATAACGGATTACTTACTGAAGACTTTTTTTATGACAACCTCCTTCACAAGGGGAACTTTCAATTCCAAGTGAATGAAATAATTATAAAAAAATTAAGAGAAAAAAGTAAAGCCTGTTATGGATGAGCACTAAATAAAGTGTAAGTACATCAGTGAAGATTTTATGTACTTGAACTGGAAATGGGATTTGAAATTTTGAAGGAGTCACTCAAACCTTGTGGTATTTTTGAATCCCAGTGTCATCTTCCTAAGAAAGACATCTAGAACTTCTTCTCATAACCCTTATCTCCACCTCCAAAAGATGCTAAATACCCACATTCTCTACTACTTAGACCAATATATTAAACAGATCAGACTACTGTTGCCATAGACAAGCAACGTCTCCTTCAAAAAACCTGCTAGCTATCTCTCAAAAAAGGAAGACCACATAAGAGTCTTCAGTTGCTCACTTTTTCTGAAGTTCTGTTGTACAATTTTAATCACTAATGGACAACAAAAATCAGAACATGCATCATGTTTTAACACTGACTAGGCTAATAGGGGAAAAAACAAACTAGTGATAGAAGGTACTTAAGAGTTATTCCAAGACAACAAATGCTTAAATGGCCCTAAAATCAGCTTATCCCTAGTCTGCAATGCAAATCAGAATAACAACTATAAAGAGAAAGCCCGAAAGATTTGTTATCTCGCAATATAAGTTTCAGTGGTGGCACTTTTTCACTTCACTCCTGAATAGTGAAAAGGCAGCACAGAATAGCCCAAAAGATACTGTGTATCTCATCAATGGCCAACCTTGTGTACAAGACATTTCATAACATCCTATTGACTTGTTAGACCTCTACATAAGAATGAAGGCACTGTTTAACACGCAAATGTTCTAAAGGTATGCAACATTTGAGGTTGTGATTCAGTGTTTAGCATAAAGATCATAAAACTAAATACTGTAAAAATCCTATAAAATAACACATAGCTTCAACTAGAAAGCAAGTTCAGCAGATATTCCTGCCATGTAGCTGACTTCAGCTGACTGATCAGTATGTATCAGAAAGTAGCAATTCCATTTCCTAGTCTAAAGTTTGAATAACTCTGAGTCTTTTATTCTACTATTTTATTACTCTCATTCTAAAACCAAACAGAATTAACAAAAGAATTCTTCTCTACAGTTTTACAAATTCAACAGCTTTACCTAAAAGTGTTCAGAAAATGCTACGGTATCTAGATAAAAGTGTGTACTAAAACATGCACATAATTTAGAAATAACATTTATTTAAGGAATAAAATAGGCAGCTGCAGAGTATCAGAGTTTGTACCCCACGTTGTTTCTATCTATACAATCTGCACTACTATCCTATCTATCACATAACTGGTTGGAGAATTTTCTTCCTCCATAGTATCCATAGAAACATGGTTCCTCCTAGGTGCCTGGGAAACACAGCAAAGAGATGAAGGTGAATTGTCTCTCTCAATTTCCCTTCCTAAAACCCTGGGCATAATTCAAGAGAGACTGCAGATTCTGATTCTATGTACAGTCACTGTGGGGAACTATTACAGTAAATCAACCCTTTGTATACTTATAATCCTCAGTATCCCAAATATAGCATCAAGTATAGAAGCGTTTAGTTATGGTCCTGCCTTGAGCTGGATTTGCTCTTTCAGTAAGCACACTTCTGTTCTTACGGAGTTATCTTTACCCTCTTCGCTTAATGACAGAGACCCTGTACGCATATCCAGGGAACTAACTCTGGACTACCTGGTCTCAAAGAGCTCATGGACTTGGTGGTGGTAGTTCCAAAGCCAGTGTCCACTATCTACCTCAACAGGCTCAAGACTTGAAGGATTGGCAGACAACGGATTTCCAAGCCTTAGACAGAGGGAGCAGAAATGACCTTTGTGTTTGAAGCAGCAAATGGTGTAATTTGTTAATCTCTTCCAGATAACAGTGAAGCAAAAGCCATAGGTAGCTGGACTGAAACACAAGGTTGTGGATAAGGCCTCTGTACCTTGTCCTAAACAGAAGGGAGAAGACAGCAGAATACCTTCAAAACCTGTAAATGAATGTAGGGGAAATCAACTTACACCATTAGCACGATGAACCTCACAGGATCCTTACAAGGAAGAGAATACAACATCCGCTGTCCCCGATATATAGAGGGACTGGGATAGGCTTACATGTATGTCTAGGGATATTCCAGAACATTAAAACCCAAACGTTCTCTGACCAGCAAACCTTGGCATAGAATATGTCCAGCATTTGAAAAGACATTTTCGAGACCTTGCCCTTGATCGATTCTTCCTACACACATAGAATGTAGTAAAGGGCAAATCACAGGAAATTAAGTTAACCTTAAAGACTTACAGTGCAAAAATATGCAGGAAAACTGTCAGAACTATCAGCATGACTTAGAAACCTACACTTCTTTTGAAAATTAAATTTACATAATTTGAATGAGAGCTTTACTGAAACCTCTGGAACACCAGTAAAACGAACCTCAGTTAGAGAGCATTTTGCTTTGAATGGGTTTTTACTTTTGCCCCAGAAGGTTTTCCAGATTAAAAAATAGCACATTCAAAGGGTCAATAAAAGAAAAAAGTAACTGAATAAACATAGGCAAATAGCTCTCAGAAATATGCAATGATATATGCAGAGATAGATCTAGACTTTCACACCAAAATCTAACATTCTTATGGAATAGGTTGACTTCTGCAACAAATTTACACATCACATGTCCTAATCTGTTACTTTTTGTGCGCTCTCATGAGAGGCAGTCACGTCAGAAAAGATCACCAAGTAGGAGACCAAGAAATACAAAAGCAATAGAAAGTAAAGAACCTACAGACAGAAATTAAACTCCGTGTGGAAAGAACTTCAAGTTCTTGCCTCTCAAACCTTGCAGGAAAGATTCTACTGAAGTAGTATCTGCCAACAGTAGCAGTGGCTGCTGTTATTTATACAAACTACATTCTGTCTACCCACAAAATTGACCTGTTACATAGCTTTGCTGAAAGCTAGCTATTCATATGCTCCTTCCTGCCACGTGTATGCACCCTCCCACACCCCAGATTACTTAAATTACTCAACTGGACTGTGAGGAGAAACACCACCATTAGAACATAGAGTAGAGTTTTGGAATTTTTGTATATGCAAAAGACAGTCAGTTTGCTTGCCTTTTTTTTTTTTTCTGTATTTTTATTAGATTAATTTTTAGTTGATAGTTTGACTGGCAGTTATTTTTCATCACTGGACTTTCACCAGTTTTTCACTGTTCTTCCTGATAACACATTAGTGAATGACCTTATCCCAGCCCTGTACCTCCCAAATACAGATTTGCACTGAATATTATTGCAACCAAACCTTTCGCGATCACCATTTCATTTTTATCTGGCACTGCATGTGTGTGTACATATGTACGTATACATATACACATATACAACACATGTGCACTCACTTTTGAAAGATAGGGCTTTCACATGGGGATCCTTCCAATAACACAAGAAAACCAATAAAAATTAGATCTGAAAATCAAGTTGACTTAAAATCAATTCATAGCAATATTGCTAAATATTAGCTCAAAATAGGATAAGAAATTTATAGAATTCACATATCATTTTAGTTTTTCTGAAAGCCTACATTACAATATGGTACTTTAAAGAACCCAGACTAAAGATAGTTGTTATTTTTCTCTTATTTTTCTAGCTTTTGGTAGAACAACTTTAACCCTACAGAGCTCTGGAGCTTCCTAGGAGAACACTTGTCCTAAAATTTTTTGCATTAATGGTAGAATTTCAACTGCACTTTAATACAGAATACATTGGTAGCCTTGGGACAAAAATAGTCAACTTTCCCATGAAATATCTTCATTACAATAATGAAGCTATTGATAAGCTTTAAAAAACCCAGCACATAAGCGTTTTAAAACCTACATGGCACACTGATGAAGTACAAAACTTTTAGTAAGATTCAATTCCCTATCATAAACAAACACTCTTGATGTCAGCAGTTCTAATGAAAATTTGATAGGAATAAATGTAATCCCCAGAATACTGACATTGCTGCACTTCTGTCAATTTAGTAAATACTTCATAACAAAGTAATTATAGATGCAAGACCTTCACCACTGATGTAAATTGTGATGTCAGGGTGAGTTATGTCAGCTTCTTGAGGATCAGAGTACATGGTTATCTTGTAGTGTTTTACTGAATAATTTGCCTAGAAGGTTAATATCGTCTACTTGAGGAAGTATCCTGATATTTGTTCCACTTTAAATCCACCACCAAGCTGTTCTGAAAAGAAGTAATGAATTATGCAAAGCCACACCTAGTTTAAGTAAAGCAATGTTAAAAATGAGGAAACCAATATTGAAAAGAGCAAGTTTGTTTTACAAATACTTTTACGAGTTATGCAAACTCCAGTTTTGAAGAAAGATAGTAATGTGATTAACTTACCTTTGTATTTCCTCTTGCTGGTTCTTTGAAAGTGCTGCTACATTATGATTTTCAGGAACGCTTGCTTGGTTTTCTTCATATTCTCTCAGTTTCTCTTTCAACATTAGTATCTAAGAAAAGGTACTGTTTAGTTGGACTACAGGTTTGTTAGTTTTTGGTTTTTTTTTTTTTTTGAAACCTATCATCCTGTGCTTATGTATTGAAAACCTTTACAAATGACAGTAGATAATATTCCTGTTAGAATACACAACATCTTTCTTACTTCAAAAGACTATATGGGAGAATTAGGACAATATTGCCTCATAGATTCAATCCCATGAACACTTTTTTGTATTCAAGGTTGTAACAATTAACCATTCAAAAATTCTTAACAAATTTTTTACATACCTCTTTCTTTTGTTCATTGCAAATTTTAACATACTGGCTTATGTGACTGTCCAAACTAACAACATTGCTCTTCAACTGCTAAAGAAAAGAAACAAGTTAGAATTTAAGAACAGTCCTTTGTGTTTTCCTGCATAATACACCATGTCTCAGTACCACATAATTATACTTGCACTATATTATGAGGAAAGGGATGAATAAAATCCGTGCAAAACAAAAATATGACACTCAGCTTTTGCAGTCACCCATTGCATACCCACGGCCATATCATTTCTCTCAACAGAGGAACAGAAAATAATTACATTTACACGTGCAAGCGCATTCTGCATTTATTCAGACTAGTTTTACTATTTAATGTGTATCTTGTGCATTTTATTATAAAAACTATGCAACAAATGGAAGCAACAGTCAAACCCATGTTATGTAAGAAATTAGGACCTGCGATACAAAGGATTATGAAAAAAAGATTTGACTGTAAGATGGGAAAAAATTGAGACAATGAAGAAAGTTATAATCTTCTAAAAGAAAGAACTCCTCCTCTTAATACTATATTATTATACTTTCACAAAAGATCAATACCAACATACTCACAGAAGACTTGATATCCTTTGCTCGGTTTGCATACTTAAGAGTATTATATGTATCATCATAGAACATAGAAGATGGACTAACAGCAGCTATCATTATTGTTCGGCAATTTCCTCCAAGAGAATCTTTCAATAAACGAGTAAGCTTGCTGTTTCGATAAGGAATGTGCTGTTTCTTGCTCTAGAAAGAAAGTTATATGCATTTTTATGGATTATTGAATTGTACTTTAAATATTCACCTGCCTAAAATTTTGCTTAGAATTCCAACAATGCCACAAAACGTGACAAACAGCCTTGGAACTTTTCTTTGACATAAGTAATTTTAAAAATTACATATACATCTCAAACAGTTTTAAATCCCTTGGAACTGTTTAATACCTTTATAACACATGTATTAGCCAGGTTACTTTCTTATGTCCAGATATGGTCCAATTATTTTTGTGATTTGGGCAACTAGCAGAAAAGGTAGACTACGTTAAACTACTTCCAGTTCACAGAATAATCGAGGCTGGGAACGACGTCTCCAGATCCATCTAGTCCAATCCCTCTGCTCAAAGCAGAGTCACCTAGAGCAAGCTGCCAAGGACTATGGCCAGTTGGGTTTTGAGTATCTCCAAGGATGGAGATTCTACAACCTTTCCAGGCAAGCCAACGTCTGCCTTGTGAAGCTTTTTTTCAATCACATCTACAGAATCTTAATCTTTCAGTACAAAGTTAGGTCACTAGGACCCCAATCCACACCAAATAAGTCAACATGAAGAATCTTACTTATGTCTGTGGTACAGATTTTAAATTCTGTCTCCCACTCCAACAAGATGGTGATGAGAATGTACAGAACCAGGAAGGGAAATAAAAACTCTGATCATTCCCCCCGGCATATTTGAAGGGGGAAATTTGTAACTGACCAGAAGGACAAAAAGGGTGTAGCTACAGGCAATGGACTTGACTTTGGCAAAAGTTTGGGAGGTTTTGTCATTCTCCCACACAACTGTCCCCACTCTTT